AGAGAGAGAGAGAGAGAGAGAGAGAGAGAGAGAGGGAAAATGAGAAAGCAAGTGAGAAAGAGAGGGAAAGTGAGAAAGCAGACAACCAGGTCCAGGACTTGAACCACAGTCGACCACATGGGAGTTCAGTGACCTTAACCGCCACACCACCTGCCAGCCCCCTCAGTTCTTTTTTGTACCAAAATAAAGTTGTACTTCAATTCTCTTTTTCTCCAAGCTTTTTGAAGTTCCCTCATGTGAAACATATTCTGTAGTTTGCTCTTTTTGTTTTTTAAAATTTGTCAGAGGGTGTGTGCATTTGAAACACACACACACAGAGAGAGAGAGAGAGAAAGCACCCCCAACAGTATGTGGCCATGCTGCAATCCCTTCTTTGTTTTTTCAGCCTGTCTGGACTTTGGGCACATACATATGTACCTGGTGTATTTTTCTTAAGATTAAAAAAAAATTATTTTGGAACCAGCAGATGGCATAATGATTACATTGCTGGACTCCAGCCTGTTGGGATTTTGGGTACACACATATGTACCTGATGTGTGTGTGTGTTTTCCTTTCTTAAGATTTAAAAGAGGGACCAGCAGTTGGTGTAATGGCTGGGTCGCTGGACTCCCATGTAGTTGACTGCGGTTCAAATCCCGGACCCGGTGACTTAAACTCAGGCCGGGCGCGGGTGCGTGCGTGCCCAAGATCCCGAGAGGAGAATGGAGGAGAAGGAATTGTGGCATGGCCATTCCCCCTGGGGGGTGATTTCTCGCTTTCTGTCTCTATATCTCTCTCTGTCTGTCTGGCGAGCGCACACGCCCTAAAGCAAAAACCTCTCCAAAAAAAAGGAAAAAAAAAAGATTTAAAAGAAAAAAACACATTTATTATGAAACCAGCAGATGGCATAGTTATGTTGCTGGACCCCTATGGACTGCAGTTCAAATCCCAGGGAACCAGCAGTTAGCGTAATGGCTATGTCGCTGGACTCCCACGTAGTCAACCGCGGTTCGTGTCCCGGACCCGGTGGCTTAAAACTCATGCCGGGTGCGTGTGCGTGTGTGCCAAGATCCCGAAAGGAGAATGGAGGAGAAGGGATTGCGGCGTGACCATCCCCCGTGGGGGGTGATTTCTCGCTTTCTGTCTCTAATGTCTCTCTCTGTCTGGCGAGCGCACGCGCCCTACAGTGAA